CCCTCTTCCTGATCTTACAGGGGGGCGCCCGTTGCGGGATTAGCCACCGCGGCCACTAAGCCGCACTTGCTACCCAGCCAGTTCGGATTACCGACTGGGATGAAGCGCGGCTCTGTGGCCAACCCTAGGCCGACGCCCATCTCCGCAAGACTGTGAATCCACAAGTCTTGGACACGGGCGCCGTTACTCAGGTTGGCTTGGGAGACCCGGAGGAGCGTGAAAGCTAGGCCTTCACGCCTCCTCTGGGCGTTCCTCCTCCGTTCCCCCTGGGGAGACTTCAGGTAGCGACAGCGCCGCCCCTGTCTCCTCCGGGGGAACTTTGGCCGTGGTGGTGGCTTCCACATTGGGTGTCTCCATGGTGGCATTCTGCTCTATTGCCTCCTTGGGTGTTTCCTCGAAGGTTCCTAACTGGAAGGTCCCTACCTTTGCTTCCCCCACCTCTCGGGAGTACGAGGGGAGAATGCCTACAGGGGGAGCCGGGGATGGCGCGTCTTCCGACTCCCCTACTACAGTTGGGGGTGGGGTCTTGGGGACCTCCACCCTCCTCACCTTGTCCTTCCTGTCCGGGGGGCTGGCTCCTTCTCCTTCTCCTCCGTCGCCTTCCTCTCCTCCGGTGTTGCCGCAGGGGGGACCGCCTCCAGGGCTCCCCTCTTCCTTTTCTCCCTCTGCGGCATTGCCTCCTCCTCCATGGGAACGGTGGGATCCAGGGCACGGCCTTCTACCGTCTCCACCGCCATACTGTCCTCCTCCAACGTGGGAGAGGGGGCCGGCTTGACCTCCTCCCTTGCCTTTGTTCCGGCCGTCCGTGGGGGAGCCTGTCTGTCCTTCCCACCGTCCTTCGCCGGAGTGAGAAGGACGTTCGCCGTCTCCCCCTCTGGGTTAGGTCCGGGCTGCCGCCTCCTTTGGTTAACCTCCCTCTTCCTCCTCTGCCTGCCCGTTAGCAGCTTACAAGCGGGCCCGCCGGTCTTGTGGCCGGCTGGCTTGCCCGCTTCGGCGCACACGGGGCAGCGATTCTCAGATCCTCCGATTTACTTCGGAAAGTATTTAATACCTGTAATATTTATTATTTATTATTATTATTATTATTATTTATTATTTATTATTTATTATTTATTTTAATACCTGTAATTCCTCTTGAAGCTGAGACAAGGATTATCGACCTTAGTAATATTGAAATGAATGCGTTGTACAACGTAAGCGGTTATATTTTATCTCTAATTTCAAAGAATAATGTCGTTTGCAACGAGTGTTTAAATTCTGCAGGACCCAAAATATACGACCCTAATGTTAAATTTGCCAAATTTGTACTTTTTAAGTGTTACAAAACGAAAACGTTATTTTTTTAAATAATGAAACTTTTAATTATTTTCATAAAATGGGGATTATTATTCGACGATACATATCTTATTTAAAGTCTGTTAACTGCGATTTGCTAAACTTTTCTTTAAATAAAATGAAGGATGTAAAGTGTGACATACTCAAGGACTGTCACAAAATTTCACATATCAGGTGTAGTAAAAAGAAATCCATTATTTTTCCAATAGATGGCTTTAGTTATCTGTATCTCGCGTTGTATAAGTCCGATCGGGTTCCACTAGATGGCGTTAGAAAGATAAGATTTCGTACTAAAAAAACTTTTGTGACAATTTTGTGATTAGTTGATTCAGTTTTGTTTGAGCGCGCGTCAAAAATGGACACTAGCAAAGAGAAAATACGTTATATTTTACAGTTTTTCTTCGATAAAGGTGAAAACGCAAGCCAGGCTGAAAATGTGAATAGTGTTTATGGTCCTGATACTGTAATAGCCAATCACGCGCAATTTTGGTTTCGTCGATTCCGTTCCGGTAATTTCGATGTCAAAGATGCACCACGCACTGGAAGGCCAATTGTCGAAAATATCGATAAAATCATGGACATTGTCGAGTCCGACCGTCATGTAAGCACTGTTTCGATTGCCCAAGAGCTAAAGATTGCACAAAAAACCGTTTGGAACCATTTGAATAAGGCTGGATACAAAAAGAAGCTCGATGTATGGGTGCCACACGAGTTAACGCAAAAAAACCTCATGGACCGAATTTCCATCTGCGAATCGCTGCTGAATCGCAACAAAATCGACCCATTTCTGAAGCGGTTGGTCACTGGTGATGAAAAGTGGATCACTTACGACAACGTCAAGCGGAAACGGTCGTGGTCGAATCGCGGTGAACCGACGGAAACGGTGGCCAAGCCAGGATTGACGGCCAGGAAGGTTTTGCTGTGTGTTTGGTGGGATTGGCAGGGAATTATCTACTATGAGCTGCTCCCCTACGGCAAAACTCTAAAGCTAAGACTCCATGCATGCGGTGAGCTCCGGCAAACGGCTGCGGTGACTAATCAGGAGACAGACGCATGCCGGAGCTTGCCGCAATCGGACTTGCGCCCCCCTCCTGATTGGTCACCGCAGCATTTGCCGCAGTTCACCGCATGCATGGAGTCTTAGCTTTAACTCGGAACTGTACTGTCAACAATTGGACCGTCTGAAGGAAGCAATCGCCCAGAAGCGGCCAGTTTTGGCCAATAGGAGAGGAATTGTGTTCCGTCAGGAGAACGCCAGGCCACACACATCGATAGTGACTCGCCAGAAGCTCCGGGAGCTTGGTTGGGAGGTTCTTATGCATCCACCTTATAGTCCGGACCTGGCACCAAGTGATTACCATCTGTTCCTGTCCATGGTGAACAATTTTGCTGGCGAACAAAATTCGCCTCAAGAGAGGCTTGTGAAAATCGACTATCTCAATTTTTTGCCAATAGGGACGAGGGCTTCTATGAGAGAGGCATAATGAAATTACCTTCAAAATGGCAACAAGTTATCGAACAAAACGGCGCATATTTGACCTAAATCGGATCATTCTAACTATGGTAATTAAAGCCTTCAATTTCATGCAAAAATAATGGATTTCTTTTTACTACACCTGATATAATTATGAAACGATTTATTCGATTTAGATTAAAAATCGAATGCCAGAAAGGTCGTTTAATCACACCAGTGTACAGTAGTACAACAATGGCACGACATTCGATTTTAAGATAAAATATTAATATACTTTATACTTTATAGTTAATATAATTTATAGTTATATATTAAATATCTATGTAACAACAATAAATATTATATGATATTAAAAACTTATTATTAATGCATAATTTTTTCTTTTATGTTCTTTTTATGTTTTATTTTAATAATTAACATTTCTTTTTTAAATTAACTTGGAATTGTCATTTACAGCGGATCTATCTTTTATTTGGACATTTCGAAACTTAACTTGTGAAAAAAACCGTTGTTGCGATAAGTCTTTTTCATAATATAAAAATGCAACACATCGCATTGTAAAAATAATGTACTCGTTCACGAATTAAATTATCACGCGCGTATGTACTTGAAGGGAGAATATGATTGGTTCCGCCATTTTGATTCAAAGCAGCTCTCAGCCAATTAAAATTATAACCGATTGACCGGACTCCTATTCGAGGGTCACTAGGCTCGGCTAAAAGCGGCTAAAAGTGACCTCTCTCCTTCTTCTCTCTGCATGCACTAATATTTTGCCCGGAGGGTTATGTCACGCTACAGGTTTGGTTAGATAAAATTTCGTCGTCAATATAGATCTCTACAATTAGATTAGTAAATATTCAGATTCTTGTGGATCTGCTTATTGGAACACCGCTTGGAAAAAAGGAATATTTAAAATTTGTATTGAATTGCTCACATGCGGAATATTCATTAAGTGTTAATGATTCTGCATTAATTGAATTAAATCTTACGTAAATATAATTCTATTAGAAAATAATACGTTTTTATAAGCTTCCTTCTAAAGTGTGAAAGATTTTATGCCATTGACAGGATATTTCTCCTTTGATATTTTGATCCTTTTCTCGTAAAAAGCAGGGAAGAATTTGTAATTCTTTCTCATGCAAAATTAACATCTAGATTTTGAGTGAATAAAATTGATAGACACAAAATTAATGTTGAACGGGGATCGATAAAAGAACAATGGTATATACAAGATGTGTCTAAAGCCGTGCGTTGCATTTTTTTCGAACTAAATAAACAATGTAACATACACATCGAGTGATAATTTATTTATATATATATATACTATATCGCTTTTCATCAGAATTACAAAAAAATTAATTACAAAGATTAAACCAAAGTCCTATTTTTATGCTGTGTGTTGTAATTACATATCTTAGATTTATCTCTTTATACGTCAGTTCGTATTGAATATCGTTTTTTTCCGTTCCTTCGTCTGGTTCATAAATTCTAGCACGGAAAGAGATAAAACAAATGCTTATCGTGAACAGTGAAAAATCTCGAGATATTCGAGCGTTGGATCGCCGACAATAAACGTGAATTCCTTCAACCGAGACACGAAACGGGAAAATATATTATATATACGTATATATTTGTATTTACGGCAAATTTAAGGAGAGGGCTTAGTGATACGAAGCTCGATATGTTACAATTACAATATTTTATATATCTTTGATGACGGTTTGATGGTAACAACAGGTAAATACTACATATTGTACATTGAGTAGGCGATAATCGTATCTTATTACGTAATTAGCGTATCAGCGGCGCCGACATCGATGTCGACACGGCGACGGTTATGACGGCTATGATGACGACGACGAAGATGATGATAATGAAGATGGTGGTGATGACAATGTGACGATGATAATGACAGTGAAAGTGACGGTGACGACGACGACGACAACAGCGACGATATCGATGCGGTGTTTCGCTTCGGAGGACGCGCGCGATCGACGCACCGATGGCAACAGTAGCAGCAACAATCTCAGTAACAGTAACAGCAACAGCAACGATGACGATAATAATGATAATAGTATAAGTAACAATAGAGCAGTCCATAGTACAGTCTAATAGACAAGGTAATAATAATAATATCTTCAATGAGAGAGAGAGAGAGAGAGAGAGAGAGCGAGGGAGGAAGGGGGGGAGAGAGAGAGAGAGAGAGAGAGAGAGTCGTCCTCCGTGCGTAACTTTTGGAAACTATTTCTCGTTTTCTATTCTCTCCAAGTAGCTCTCGTCCCGTGTGAAACCTCACCAGTCAGTCGTCTTTCCTCTCAGTTTCGTACTCGAAAGATACATGTGCGTATGCACTTCGTCGCGATATCGCCACCGTCATCGCCGATATCGTCGTCATCGAGCGCAATTAGCGATTATTAATTACCGCTCTCTCTTCTTCTTTTTTCCTGCCTTCGTCAGTTCCGCGCTTTATCACACTTAATGTAAACAGGGCGACATCGTGTCTGAGGAATGTGTGTGTATCGAGTGTGTTTGTGTATGCGCGCGGGCGCGGAATCAGCATTGCGTTGAATCTATCGTATCACTAATCAGCAAGGGATACTGGAAAGACAATGCGCGCGCGCGTCATCGTCGCTTCACGCGCTACATTGGTCGTGGACAAGGGAGTAGTTCGCGTAGAATCGCAGGAAACACGGGGAGTAGAGCGGGGACTCCTCTCGCGTCGAGAGATTATCAATGATCCCCGTGCGTATCGAGTATTAAACGTATGTTATCCTAAAGCCGGTACGATCCTTTGTGCTCTTAGCGTCACGAGTATTTGCGAGGGTATAGTTGCCTTAAATCTACACATTGTGCAGCGATGAGTATATTCTTTTTACAATAGGAAAGCACCTGCCTGATGGTCATGATATACCGACGAATGCATCATTAATAATATCGATGAACGCGTCGATGAACTTATTAACACTCGAAAAGGAGACTAAGAGGACGGATGAAAACGTGAGGAAGATGAAGCCAGGAAGAAAAGGAAGCGGGAGGAAAGACGGATGTATAGAGAGAAAGAATAAAACGTGAGGGGCGGTTTGACAAGACGCAGAGACAAACGACAGAACAGTGGGAGGGAAATAAATGGGGGAGGGGGGGGGGCAATAAGAAGAATGACGACGCGAGAAAGCCGCTATGACGAGGCTTCTCGGGAAAACGGAGAGATGATATTCGGTTGGGAACCACTGGATTTGATACATCGAAAGGAATATACTCCAATGCTTCGGTTCGCGCGACAAGCACGTTACGAACGTTACAAAAGCGCAGGTCTTTCGTCGTCGGGGCAATATGTTGAGGGAAGGCCGGGAGATGCGTACGTATATACATGGAACGTCGTCTAACATGTGTGTGCCTCTCTCTGTGTGTGTGTGTGTGTGTGTGTGTGTGTGTGTGTGTGCGTGCGCGCGCGCGCATATGTGTGTGTGTGTATAACCACGCGACGGTTATTAATATAGGATATATATATGTATATACTAACATATAAGCCCACTGACCCCGATCACGCTCAGTAAGATTAAGTAAATGCTTATGGCATCTGATAATCACCGAGGGTGTCCCTTATATCAAACGTCATTGGGTAGTTAGTTATGAACGGTCAGCGCGCACGCGCGCGCGCCTGTCTTGTTGATATTCGGATATGATCGATTCGTGCAAGTTTTCGCCGTGCTCACACCAATGAGTCTCGCTCTCTTTCACATCCATTCTATGTGGAAAAGGAAACATAACAAGAATAAACTGATCCGATCAGTCAGTGTCGCAGCTGAGACTGCGTGCTCGAATCCCGCGTTCGGCGCCAAGCCCGGCTCGTTCGTCGCGTTGTGGAGTTACTCGTGCTCGGCTCGGCTTTGAAATAATTGCAACATCGCGACAATTTTTGCCATGATAAAAGTAATAATAATTGAAAAATAATATGGTAATGATATCATAGCAAATAATCGAATAATGATTTTATCATCGGAAAACATCACGGTGCCGCGTTGACAGAGTTCTTCTGTCGCAATCGTTTCCGTCGCTTGTTATCTGAATTCTCGAACATTAGATACTGAGCGTAAAACGCGGAATACGACAATTTGTTTTCTCGCCGTATATACGTGCGGTTAAGATCGGTCTCGATACGCGGTATATATACATAAATCAAGCTTGATGCATCACGGTGACCGCAGGGTAATCGAGAGATACGTATTATCGTCGGGCGAAAGGCAACGTAGATCGCACTTCACGTTGATTAATAATATATATATATATATATATATATATATCTTTATATCTATATTTATATTTATATAGTAATTACGCTATAAGACTAGATTCTCTCGGCGGGGTACTCGCACGTACGTTGTTCCGATTTTGCCTCGACGGTTTCGCGTAACCGTTGCTCGTGGATTCGTTTATTCGCCTTTCACGACAACGAGACGCCGCGTCGTTGCCGTTGATTCGATTGGATTGCTATTGTCCCACGCGATGTGCCCACACACACACACACACACACACACAATGCACGGAGTCACACATACATACTTAGACATGTAGTCCTTAGATACGTTATTATAGTATAGATTCTTGGGCGTGATTCTTGGAGTAGGTCGCTCACTTCTTTCACTTCTCTTTGTGATTTGTTTCGTTTCACTCAATCGCGTCGCGATGATCGGTTGCAGTTTGGAAAACAACGGAACGACTGTGTGAGCTCGTACTTCTAGTCGAGCGGGAAGAACAGACGGAACTTTCCCTTTCTCTCTTTTGCTCGCTCTCTTTTTTTCTCGCGGTCACGAGCGCAGGTAAGAGCGCATATATACTAAACGAACACACATTGTTGTCTGTGAAGAATTTTTCTCATTGGCAAAGTAACGAGTAATTTCGAGGAGTTGATAATTACGCTTGATAGTTGCGTATTTTAAAGGAAAAAGTTCAAGTCCTTTGAGGTATCACATGAAAATCAACTACTGAAGATGCTACAAGGAAACACTACAAAAGTCACATATCGGAAGATATGTCGTCTCCAGAATGCTGAGATTCTCCGCCGTCATTTGCGCGTTCCACTAATTAATTATACTCGAGCTACAATGTGTTCGGCTGATTTACATACGCTCTCACTAACGCATCGCGCACGGCTTCTCTTTGTGTCTAACTACAAATACGAGCACAAGCGGCACAGGATACGCCTGCGTAATGGTACACGAGACAGGCACCTAGGTACACACGAAACGATTGCTAAAATTTCTCAAAGATCATATTACCGCGAACACTGTCGGATTACTGTCGAGAGGCGAAGAGAGAAAGGCTCCAGTAAAGCCGATGAAGAAAAAATTCCGATGTATACGCGACGAATGGATATGCGACGAAACGAGAGATGCGTAGGTGATTAATTATCTTCGTGCCGCGCTGTCAGAGAACTGTCGTTCCGACTGACCTCAAATGACTTTCCGAATACCATCGCGGTAAATATACAATTATACACTTGATATGACAAATATGTATATACACGTTATGATACTTCGCAGCGGCTGACATAGTATCCAGATAGAAATGTCTCAAGCGGGAACATGCTGAACCGAGATACCATACCTAGATACGTGTCTACGCATACGTTAATGTCTAGGTACCAGTACCTAGACGCCTTATACAATATACAGACCTCGCTGACGGTGTCTCCTCCCATTCTCACGCTTTTTTTCTCTCACACACCACACACACACACATACACGTGCGGATGCACTCGCGTGAAAGCGCGCGAAGCGATATTCGGCATCGATAAAGGTTGTAGATCGCGACGCGAGGCATTTCTCTCATACTTGAGAAAATCGTAGGATCCGATCGAGGGACGAGGAGTAATCCTTCAGAAGCGATACCAGAGAGCAGCGTTCGGGGCGTCGTAGTGTGTAACGTATACACGTGTTCTTGTCGTCGGCAACGTTCTCTCGTTCGCGAATGGTATTCGCGATTCTCTAATATAGCCATATAAATGTAACTTTAAATCTATGAGTCCATAATTAACATGCGCTATCGCATATATATATAATATATATATATATATATATATAATATAATATATATATGTACACAGTCTTACAAAGCAAAATTTACAAACATCACGACGTACTGTCGATCGAATAAATATGTGTCCTCCGGCGAGGATCGGGCAGCAAGCGGAGGCTCGGTCGTATTTCGATCGCGCGTCGCACCTCGACCTCGACGTTAGTTTCGATAGGCAGTCCACCGGACTGCCGACGGCAATCGTACATGAAATGAATAGCCAACACAGAGACCAAAAATCGCGGCGCTAAGAAGAGAGCCGGGAGGATCCTTTCGGATTCGGCGTATTCTTCGCAAATCTGCGGGACTTGACGAGAATTCCGCGGAATTCTCCAATCTCTCGAGAGATCCCGTGTCTCGTCGGGGATTGTAGTTCGCCGATGGCACGCACGAGGTATAGGAGGCGAAGGGTGTGCCAAGACGATACAAATTGGAGGAATCCTTGCGATTCGTTGCACGTACGTCACTGAGGTCGCGCGCGGGCGCGTCATCAAAATGCGCCGCATCTCGTAGCTGCTTTATGCCAACCCCTCGCGGCCCGACAACGGGAGGAGGAACCGTGATAGCGGAGAATGGGCTTGAGCGAGAGATCAAGATGGCGCGGGGGCAACAGCGAGGATCGATGATCCCACGAAACGAAGGGAAACTCGCAGCGAGGAACGAAACGTCGGAATGTCGCGTGACGCTTGTCATCGAGCGAGCGATCTACCTATCCCACTGGCCACCGACAGTCAGTTTTTTTCTTAAAGCCTCTTGCATGTTATGTGTGCGAGTATGTACGTGTGTGTGTTGTGTGTGAGTGTGTGTGTGTGTGTGTGTGTGTCTGTACAAACAGTACCCCGACCGATTTGTCGCGCCAGCAGTTTCGACAATCGGTATAATGATCTCGCGTATGTGTGTGTGTGTGTGTGTGTGTTTGTGTGTGTGTGTGCGTGTGTATATGCGTGTCCAAAGTGAAGACATTATCGTTGCTGAAATGAGAATGTTGCTTTTCTCAGATTGGTTCTCCGTATAAAACGATATAATCTAAAGACTTTATTGAAAGGAAAGGAGAGAAAGAGATCCTAAGAGTAGAGGCGGCAAAAATATTAGTTAGCAAAAGGACTTGTTATGTCGTTGATAATCGATGCTTTGTAAGAGCGATAAAAAATACAGGCGAAATTTCAGGAACTTTTGTCTGTCGTTTGAGAGAACTGTTAGCGTCCGTCACAAATGGTCGAGAGACTAGGTAGCGTTATTCTTTCTTGATTACGTGTGCGTGTATGTGTGTGTATGTATGTACGTACGTGTGTCATGTATTCGTGTTCACGCGTTACTCTTGACGTGCTGCTAGAAAGCTGACTAGATTATAGTCTAAAATACGAAACAGTCGGGATCGTCCTCAGCTAGGCGGAGTCGTTCGCGCGAGCCGCAGTTGTCGCCGGCAAGCCATCGAGGAGCGGCAAGAGCGCAAGCAGAGACGGACAGCCCAATCCTCGCGCGCACTAGCGAGGATCCCGGTGTTCCGTATCGACGTTGACTACTGCTCGACCTTCGAAGAGGTCGAACGGCCCCACCTAGGCATTCGACTCCTTCAGGTTGTCAAAGTACTGCATGATCTGGTTGTAGTCCATACCCAGATTGAGGTCGTCGAGCGCCACCGACTCCTCCTGCTCTTGGGACGAAGACGAGGAGGACGAGGACGAAGAGGATGACGAGGAGGACGAGGAGGACGGCGACGAGGACGGCGGGGATGTGGATGACGAGGCCGCGGTGGGGGTGCAGGAGGAGTTGACGCTGGAGACAACGGCGGAAGTGGAGAACGACGAGAACATCGGGTTACCGACTATAGTCGCCCTCTTGATCTCTCGGGATCTCGCATGCTTCGGGTGCCTGTCATCGTGGCCGTTCACTAGCTCCACGAGTTCCTCGTCCTCGCCGTTCTGCTGCGGCTTTGAGCTGTTGTCCACCCTGGTCTTTCCGTGCGACTTGATATGATGCGACGACTGATGGTGATGTTGTTGCTGCTGTTGTTGCTGCTGCTGTTTGCTGTGCCGATGATTTCCATGATGGCTGCCGCTGCCGCCGCTGGACGCCCTGTGACGATGCTTGCGCGGCGGTTCCGGGAGTCGCACGCTCACTCCTGTGTTCCTATGCGGCGGTACCGGTGGCTTGTAGTCCTCGTTACCGTTGTTCACGTTCGTGCCGATCGTTGTCGTCGTCGTGGCGGCCGCTGCTGCCGACATGGAGATCGCAGCTGGCACCCCGTGAGGCGGCAAAGGCGGAGGGATATCGTCGTTGCTGCAAACAAATCTACGATGACGAATGTAACAAACGATCATAAGAAAGTACCTCATTGAGATAACAGCGTTTTGGAATCCTCCACGTATGCAGGTCATAACTATTGATAAATGTCAGCCACGCGTCACTATTGCGCAAAGTGTCTATACTCTCTAGAAATTTCTTAGAGTGGCATGAGCAATTCTTCTCGCGAGTATGAGAATGAAACAAAGTAAAACGGAATATATTAACAAAACAAGAAACTTCTTCCGCTTTGAATCTCGCGAGAGACAAGCACGTTCGACTCGTCCACCCCGGCGAATCGAATCTTTCGCATGAAGAAGGCCAGCAGCAGTGTTCAAGGATAATGAAATATATACTCATTCCGCACGGTGGTCATCGTCGCGGCTGCCATCGACGCCGTGGTGGTCGCCGCCGTCGCAGTGGTCGGTGTAATCACGGTGGGCGGCTTGATCGCGGCTTTTGCGGCGAAGCTGTTGCGCGCGATCCTGTCCCTCTTGCAGTAAGTCGTGGTGTCGATGGCGCCGCTGGTGCCGCTAGGTCGTTGGTTCGCCGACGGCAGCTCGATATGATTCGGATTGTCGAAGCATGTACCCAGCTCGTTCTCGGGCTCGCCTTCGGCGGCCAGCGGATTGCTCGTCACGCGCACCTGCGATTTCCAACGAGCGTGTTTCCAATCAAGCCGATCCAACAAAATCCCGCTTGTTTTGTATAAGCGCCGACGGTCGGCCCAGCCGTCCGGCTTACCGGGCCGCTGCGTGAGCGAAACATGCGCGTCGGAGGTATTTACAACGAATCCCGCGCTGCTCGGCGGCTGAATTTAATCACGGATTATTCCCGAGCGTATTCGATGAACAATCAGGGGGACCATCACGACCGCGGGCGCGAGCGCGCGCGTTCGTAATGCACGTTGCTTTTTAATTTGATACGTACGTTGCAACACCGCGGCGATAATAATAACAATAATAAAAACACAGGTAATTTTCCCCGAATTAACCGCTCCGCCCGGCCAAAACCCGGCCCGGTCTGTATCGAGCCAACGATACCAAAGTAACGAGTAATCAACATCGAAGACATTTCATTCAGTCTCGCACGGCTGGCAACGCACAAAGAGATAAATCGCGACGTCCCAGCGAGCCGAATCGACCGGCGATACTGACGTACCTGTTGCGGCCCGCAGGCGGCTCGTTCGAGGGTCGCTCTGCCCAGCCATACCCAGTCGTGTGCGTTGGTCGTCGATTCTCGCGGCGGTCGCCTGCCGGACGCCAGCTGGTTCGCCGCGGCGCGCGCCCTCGCCGCGCTGGAGAGCACCGGGACGGCCGCGCCGGTCAACGGGGAGTCCGGCGGCTGGGGCTTGAACTTGCTGGCATACACCACGCAGGAGACGACAAAGACAACGATCGCGAAGCAGAACGCCGCTAGGAGCACGTACATCCCGATCTCGAGCGGACTCATGCGCGCCCCGCTGTGGTGACGCACGCCGACGCCGCTCATACCCCCTGGAGACATGCCATTAGCTATAGCCGTGCGATGCTGCCGTGCCTGCACCAAAGGCTCGTGCTCGTGCCCGTTCTCGTCTTTCAGCGGTAACCCTTTGCACAGAAAACAAAGAGAGAGAAAGAGAGAGAGGACAGAGTGAGAGAGGGCGGTGTGTGTGTGTGTACATGTGTTTTGAGAGAGAGAGAGAGAGAGAGAGAGAGAGAGAGAGAGAGAAATCTAGCAAGCGTGCGAGCGAGAAAAAGAAAGAGAGAGAGTCGTCGAGAGGGTGAACTTCTCTTCTCCTGAAGCATCTACGCGTCTCAAAAGCCGGACAACGACGAGAGAGGCGATCTGAGGCTGTCTGAGGAGCGTGTGCGAAGGAGAGCAACGGAGGATACTGAACGCGCGTTTGCACTCTCGCTGTGGCAATTGTACCGCCGAGCGTACAGTGATATGGCATTATGCCGAAGACACGCGAAAGATACGGCCGGCTACGTCGAGACTTGGCAACTACTCCGAGGAAGAGGAGGAGAGCCAGGCGGGAGCGTTCTCCGTGTACACGCTCTCGGACGTTTCGCTCGCGGGCTCTCGCTCGTAGTTTCTCCAACTTCGTGCGAGGGAAGGTACACGCGCGGAGTCGCGGAGAGGATCCGGAGGACCCGGGGAATCAATTCCCCCGGCCACGAGACCTCGCGAGTCGCTCCAAGTGCTTGCGGTGCGACGAGCTGTGACGAGCAGCCGGCGTCGCGTCCGCGTCGCGCGTTATTCTTCGTACCGGAGACACCGCACATTTGGCATTTCACGAGCACAAGGAGAGAGAGAGAGAGAGAGAGAGAGAGAGAGAGAGAGAGAAAGAGAGAGAGAGACCATCATTGTAAGAAGAAACGACCGAGGGACTCGGGGCGGGAGAAAGCGCGTATAAGCAGGCAAGTCCAGGCAGGTGGAAGTTTTTACGGTACAAGCCGAATAGTCCTGGTGAGGAAAGTTTCCTTGAAAGCTGAGAAACACGCTGAGAAACGAAGTGTCTGTAGCACGTCGTGCGCTATGTGGCAGTTATGAAGTGCAGAACGGAAAGAACGAGAAGCGAGAGAGCGAGAGACAAAGAGAGTGAGAAAGAGACAGAGAGAGAGAGAGAGAGAGAGAGAGAGAGAGAGAGAGAGAGAGAGAGAGAGAGAGAGAGAGAGAGAGAGAGAAAGGAGAGAAAACAAAAACTAAAGCGGCAAAGAGCGCGGCAAAGGGGAACAGGTTCTATTTACCGATGAGGATGTCATGCAGATCGGGCGCCATTTCGCCGCGGCCGGTCTTCCGTTCCCTGTGGCTCTGCGAGCCGACCGTGCCGCCGCCGTCGTTCTGCACGAATTCCGGTCGATTGGACATCTCGCTGGAGGTGAAGTCCACCTCGACGTTGGCGGAGGCGCTCGCCAACGCGGCGATCACGGGTCTCTGCGAGACCTTGCCAGGACGTCTGGTGAGTCGGCAGGAGTCGGCCAACTGGAGGCTGACGCGCAGCAGGTCGCCGCGGCCTTCGCCGATCGCGATCACCCGGGGGTGGTGGGAGGCTACCATCGGCGCGAATACCACAACTTCCTTGTCCAAACTCTCGACCAGCAAGTGGTAGTCGCTCACGGCGATCTCCCGAAGGGGCGTCCGCGATCCATCAGCGAACTCCACGTCGATGTCCAGCAGGCCTTCCTGTTGGTGCAATGATATATGGTGCCGATCATCGCGCCGAGAATTTCGCACGTAATTTTGCCCGGGACTGCAGCGTAATCTCGTAACGCGACTCGATCGCGGGGTTTCGCTCCGGGGGAGTTTCGGGGTCGATTATGTCGAAATGGAAATCCAGCGGTTGAACCTCGCGCGGTCGCGATCGCGCGCTCTCGATAGAAAGGCGGGAGGTGTTTAATTATTAACATGGCCGTGCGTCACGTGCGTCACTGTACAAAAAAGGAAAAGCCGATATTTGCGCGAGATTGAATTGCACTCGCGAAATCTGCTCTCCGGCGGCAATAATCGCAAAACGTGAGATATTTAATTATTAATAATGTGAACCCCGCCGCGAGTCTCATTGGCTGATCGACGCTGTGGCCTCATTAATTCACGCGTAAAGCGTAAGACTTGACGTATTGCCTCTGACGTATCGATTATCGCGGTCGATAGGGAACTGGGAAGATCAGATGGCGTGCGAATTTTCGTGCGGGTGCAAAAAGCATGACATATTTGTTGAACAAATAGAGAACGAAATTGTCCGACTTCAAGTCTGATCGATAACTTTCACGAATGAGACGACCGACGTCAATTCAGTATTTTTTTAGACACATGGCGAGCGATTCTCTATTTTTTTCTTCCGATACTCAAACTCTCTTAAAATATCATGCAATTTCATAAAAAAAAAAAAGAACTGCATAAAAAACCTCTCGCACCGAGCCGATACTTGTCACAACTTCGGTCATGCGCATTTCAACGAAGCCTCGAAGCGATCTGTGAAAATAATCACTATGGCAGCCAGCTGGCGTGCTGATCGCTCGCAACATTCGTTCGTGATCGCATCTGCGTTCGGTCTGCGAAAGCTCGCAGGAGCCCGAGAAGTGACAAGCGTCTCACCTGGTACTGAGCAGTCAGCCGCCTGGTGACCGAAGTCTCCGCGACGTATCCGTTCTCGATCGCGGTATCGGGACTGATGCTGAGCTGAAGCCCGGAGACCACCGTGACGGAGAGGCGCGTGACGGACACGCGGTCGTTGCCGACTCTGACCTCCTTGGCGCCGATGACTCTGCCGGTGATCGGCGACAACACCTGCACCTCTGTGCGCCCCACGCTGCGTCCTTGGACTATCCTGCCCTGAAGGAGCGTCGCTATCCGAGGATCGGAGATGCGCAGCACGGCGGTAACGAGGTCGGTGACACGCAGCCAGGTGCGACGGTTGACGAAGAACGACGTCCGGCCAGAGTCGTGGTCCGTTGCGGAGAACCGGGCGTGCACCTCGACCGGACTCTGTTGGAAGCGCAACCTGCAGGTGGTTGGCGGACTCCGCTCAATCGAGTTGTCCCAGCCGTGATCGCCGCCGCCCCCACGGTACCGCTCCTCCTGCTCGTCCTCGTCCGGCATCATGTCCGAGTCCTCCACGTCCATAGATGTGTCGTCCTCGATGGAGTCCTCCAGTTCCATGGCGCTCCGCTTCTTCGCCCGCGCGGTCACCGCCGCCTCGTCGAGCCCGGTCGCGTTCAGGCTGCGCTTGCTCTTGGTGCTGCTCGTCTGCTGCTCCGGAATCTTCCAGCCCTTGATCTGACTGAGCCGCGTGTCGCCGACCGTCACCTCCAGCGGAAACTCCGGCATCCACACGATGAACTTGGCCAAGCCGGTGTACGTGCCGTATTTGACGAGCACCGAGGCGTTGCTCGAGCCCCGAGCCTCCGAGCCGTCCACGTAGACGCTGCTGCACGAGGACGATACCTGCGAATTTCGGTCGCCGGAATTGGAATGCTCGATTACGAGGGACGATCGCTCAGGACGCGGCAAGAACCACGCACGATGCTGCCTGGGAGGGAGCACCCGGACGACCGCAGATCGGAATGTCGCGAGTTTGGAAACTACCTGGCGGAACTACGTGGCGCGCGCACACAAACCGCACGTGTATAACAGCCCCAGCGTGTAACGCGGCTGGCTTGTTAGGACTCTGTTTTCTAATCGTACGCGTTATTAAATCCAAGGAATTCGGACTCTTCGATTCACAAGCACAGTCGACGAACAAAAGGGCCGCGCACGGTACATTGTAGTGCGAGCGAAATTTGCCGACGGACTCAATTTCTCAATCGGCGGGTGAAAATTTCATCGCGCCACGATAACCGCGCGCTTGAGAGGCTCTCATTGAGCCTTTTCTCCCCCACGTTTGAACGTATTTATTATTTACGTGTTATTAGCGGTAACGCATAATCGGTGCGAATTTCTTCTTTGTGTTGTAACAACGTTACGGAATATGCGGAAACAAATGCGCACGATTAGAAGGTACCGACGATTTAATTACGCTGCGTGTGAAACTATTACGTCGCGGCCTCCGCATTGCTGCTGAACCGGCAACTCTCTCGATTTCAAAAGTACCGATTTTATTTTTTGCGAATCTGTGTGCGCGTATCTGTCGATATTTCTGGCAACGCGTTACGGTCGGAATGAATAATCAGAGATAAATTAATAATTTTCCGCAACATGCGTTCCCTTTTGAAGAAATATCGGTGCCAGAGACCCGAACGTTTCGCGAAATGCAAATTCGAAAATGCATATCGCAGCACAACGATAGTTTTAGCCGCGGAACAAATAATCTCGCTCCCTCGTCACTTTTCCCCTCCTCAGTCAGTGGCGTATAAAATAGAAAGATGAGGAGCCTCGTGGTCGTTCGCAGCGGCGCGAGAAAACGAAGAACCGGCGAGCCTGCCAACGATACACAAGCGCCGAGATTTTTCCCAATTAAGCGGCCGGGGAGCCCCGATAAGCGCGGGAGGTAAATTAAAAAGCAATTACCTTGAGAACACTCTCATCCTCGGAGTGACAGGACGACTGCAGCGTGACATCGGCCACCGTGCCAGCTTGGCTCACGATGAAAACCTTCATCCCCTGCGACACCTGACGCCCCGTCAGCACCGCGGTATTCATCACCTCCCAATTCTGAGGCGAGGAAACAAAAAACGGGAAAGGAGAAAAATATAAATCATTCTCTCTCGCTTTCGAGCGCTTTCGCGCACGCGCAGCGGAGCGAGTTGCACCTCGCGAAAATCGCATCCTCCATTTTTTATAATAGTATGCGCGATCGAAATTTGCATATATTTCAATATATGCATTCTCTCTCTCTCTCCCCCTCTCTATAAGCCTTCATTGATAGCCATTATCCATTATTCATAACTGTTATCCATTCTGTTTCAAAGTTCCCCGTTTCCCCATTTCGTCGTGACAAGATGAAAGGTGCCGGCCGATATTAAAAGATATGAACGAACCACCTCCAAAATGCAAAGTTCCGAAAAAGAAAGAAGGGAAAACATAAGTTAATAAAGAGAAACAGATAGCGGCGTTCACAAAGAGAACGTAAAAGATGACGATCGATTGAGCATCGCTCTTTCGCGAGTATTTCAACATCGCCGCAATTATCTCCCAATCATTCCAGGCAATTGGAGAAAGAGTAGGGCCGGAGAATGGAAGGATATTTTTCTCCACACTCGCGCTTCCTCTCATTTCCTCTCCGGAGGACGCGCGTTTGATGTATAATTTCTCGCGCGAGAACCTTGGAGAAACTCGGAGAAAAGTGCGCGGAGGGAAACTTGTCATAACTCAAAACCCGTTCGCGCGAATCGACGTGGTCGTCCTGAAACGGCTCATTTTTTCGCGATAGAACTTACCTCCGCTCGCTCGAGAAGAAAGAGAAAGAGAGTATTTTCAACGAAACGACAATTTATTTACGATATCTGAACGTCGTGAAATCGCGAGGGGCCCGACGATAAGGCGTAAAGGCACGAGGACACTGGCAGAGAGACTTGCGTTAGACAACCGTCAAGTTGCCGCACGGTTGCTTCGCAGATGCTGAGAGATGAGGGACGCTGGCGACGCGTTACGGGCGCGCTCACGTGTGTGGAAATTACTTTCCGCGTTTATGTCCGCGTTTACGCCACAGCCACGTCCACGTCCACGTGCGCGTACCGCTCGTGTACTCTCGTGACTGGTTCGTCAGTGGGAGCTCAGCTAAAGGGGTCGGAGAGGAGGCTCGACCTGGTCCACCGGTAAGCCATTTCCAAGTTGGCTCCCGTGCGGGCCGGCCTTTGGAAGGAACATCAAACGGCTCGGATATTGCAGCGAGGGAATTTAAATCTCTGACCTCGCATGGACTCGCTATATATCCCGTTGGTGGTGGTGTGTATTTGTGTGTGTGTGTGTGTGTGTGTGTGTGTGTGTGTGCACGCGCGCCGGTGAACCGTATCACCACCGACGAACGCGCTCGTACGATGGGAAAAGTGCTGGTGGTGGCGCCAAGGCTTACGTTCAGACCAACCAACCAACCCCCGGCTCTTTTCTTTCCTTTCATCAAATATTTTCCGAGCTGTATCGGGCCCGCGTGCGAATATTTACGAGACTGCCGCATCATGTGTGCGTGCGAACGCGCGCGTTGTATGCGCACGCGCGCGCGCGCGTGTGTGTGTGTGTGTGGCTATGCTGCGGGCCGTTATGACTTTTACCGTGCAAAATATTTCGGATCACCGGTTATATATACAATTGTACGCAGCAACTTTCGGTTCAATGTTTGTTACGTGTTACGTTAAAAAAAAAAAAGCCAGACCGCATGAGAGGATTGTTGGAGCAATTTCAAAGTCGATATTTTCGCGATGCAAGTTTTATCGGACAAAATACATCTTGTTTCGCAACTCTCGCGCTTCTGGCGGTAAATACTTTTCGGTAACTCGCAGACTCGGTTTAAAAAATCGCACGTAGCTGAGACCGCTGTTGCGTGTGGCTTAAACAGAATCTTTCAAGAGCCATGCTGATGGTCATGCAATTTGCCTCATATTCAGATTTCAATTTACAGGATTACATTTGACTTTTTTTCATTCGAAACACATTATGATACACTCAATGAAATTTTGCACCTTTATAATCGCGATTCAATCGGAAATCACATCTGATCTAATTAAAGTAATCGAAGTTTAACTTTTAATTCTTGCTCTCAGTTGGATGTGTCGATTTTTCAATCGAGTCTCCATTATAAATGTAAAATGTCGTGTATACAAAATCGTTTGATCATTATTAAAGTTCTGCGGATAACCAAGCAATTGATTCACATCTCATTCATGTCTGAAGTATCTCACTTGAGACAAGTTTCGAATAACGGAAATATTAATACGAGTCTGAGCCATGTGCGAGCTCGTGCCATTTAAAGAAAAGGATAAAGATACATTTGTTGTAGTGGATGAGTGGAATTAGAGAAATCGAGCGATAACGATTGCGCTCGCATTTAAGTTTTGAGCAGCTCTCGAGCTCTCGTGTATGCTCGTCTAGTTACTATTATTCGCAAACCATAACAATGAGGACGGCAAGCGGTGCTGCGCGGTGAATGAAGCACAACCTATATCTCTTCTACTTTCAACAGGAATTCAATGTATCGTGAAATGAGGGTTCATAGGTATGAGCTCGCCGTCCGATTCGAATAATCAATAATATAAAAATATCAAATATTTGCAAATTCATCGGATCTGTAATTTTACAGAAAGCTTACTTGACGCTTTGTCCTATAATATTGATTCTTTATATATTTCTACACATGTATGATGCTTAATGAATATTGGTTTTTAGAGCGTGCCTCCGTGTGACACGCTTTTGGCGAATCGAAAGTTACCTCAACGAACTGAAATACTAAAATTAATTTCAGACTAGACGATAAATTTAATTTTACATAACTTTGCAACTGTTACCAAGAGACGAATATTTCCCCAATCGATTATTCATTATAATTGCAAAGAATAAGTTTGTAGGATTGTATATTTGAAGATTGTAACAGATGTAAATTTTGATACGCAAACGAATCTCACAGGAGGTCCCCCTTTGGATATTTCCGAGATTGCAGGATTATTTTCCAATTTCGCTGGAGGAAGGTGAAAATGTTTCTCGATCTAGAATCTGCTGGAGAAGGAAACACAGATGGAGGGGCCCCGCAGAGGGCAGAGGATTTTCTACGCCATCGCGCGTAAAATACGCACAATACAGGCCATTACGCTGATAAATTTCGGCGGGGGAAACGAGCGGCCGTGTCGGAGGTCGCTAATTGATAAATTAGATAATTAATTCGTTTACATATCCCTTTGAAGGCGCCGCGCGCGTGGGAAGCTGTCGGAAACTCGGCGCGCTTCTTGATTATCCTTACTCTAATTGCCGGCCCGCTTGCCGCGCGAGCAACTGCGAAGGAACTTTTTAATTAAGAGAGACCTCGCGCCCTCGACCTCTGTCTTGCGTTATCCGTCAGTGTTTAACGCAACATCGCGATACCGAGAGCCTCGCGATCGCGGTCTCGTCGGCAACGCGACTCGGTTTTACGCATCTCACAAATATCCGCGCGGACGTCGCGAAAACAATTATGCGTAATAGCAAAGTGTCGTATTACGCAAACTCTTCCCGGCTGCTTGTGTGCCGCGAGATTTATTGCGAGCCGAAGACTCGTGGGAACGCGTGGCAAATTTTTCATAAATTCTTTTCAGATAGCGACGCAATTCTACGAAAGGATTACGTCGTCGTAATAACTGACACCGGTGATAATTGCGTTGTAACGTCTGAGGCGTGTATCTTGATTTCGCGCGTGTATTGCTGCCGAGAATCTCTCGCCCTATAAATCGACGATGAAAGAGATCTTTCACACGCGACTTTAGCCTCAATGGTAAAGAAGAAAACAGAATTTCTATCGCGTCACTTTATATGAAAAAGCGAGGTGGGAAGGAAATCTTGGCGGCTGGAAAAGAAATCTTCAACTTCCTCATCTTATCAGTCTGTCGAACGCGAGTGCGAGACGGTATTTGCGCGAGGAAACTTGTTTATTACGATTTATAGCACACGGAGGAGAATTTATACAACTCCTGTTTCTGACATCAGCATCTAAGGAGCGCGAGGACGGATTAAGAGTCTCGAAACGACGTCGTTGGCGTGATGATTGGAGGATTTTTGAGACTTTGCTCAGATTTTAGAGTCTTTCCTCTCTCTCTCTCTTTCTCTCTCTCTCTCTCTCCCGCTTATACTGCGATTCTCGTTCCGAGATGCCCTTCGTCCTCCCGCTTGTCGAAAATCCCGCGGAAAAGAGGTGACTCGAGCGACGAGCGCGATCAATACGGCCGTATCGATCACGTCGCCGCGCGAGAATCTGTTTCCACTCGGTCGGCCAATCTACGGTCCTCTCGCGAGCATCTCTCGCGTCGAGACACCAAGAACGAGAGAAAAGGAAGAAGACGGCGACAGAGAGAAAGAGAGAGAGAGAGAGAGAGAGAGAGCAAGGGGGTGGAGGACGGAGAGGAAGAGAGGGAAAAGCACCAGGGAGGACCGACAAAGGATAATGCTTTTCCCTCTTTGGCTCCCAGGGTGAACTTTTCCCTCTCTCTTCCCTCCTCCTCCCTGTCCTCTTTCTCTCTCTCTCTCTCCTTCTCTCACTCTATCGTCTCGTGGCCGGTACTTTTTCCACAGCTTTTCCGCGCCCGCGCTCTCGCCATAACGGCGATATTTCTAACCACGGCAAAATTCTATCGATACTCGCCGAGTCGATCTCCCGCCGGCTAGCTACGTGCTCCCATTTCGGTAACGGCAATCCAGCTGGTAACAACAGATTGTAATGAAATTTTCGATTGCACGCCTGGTAGCGCTGGCATTCCCGCGTTGCTTCTCGTGCGGACCCAGCGAATGCGCGGGCGGAATGAGGCGTGTAAAGCTGAGGCGCGGAATTGTCCGAATTATCGACTCGGTGGTAGCACATCTTTTTTTTCTCCCTTTCCCTTTAATCGAGATTTGGCAGGATTTTGCGGGAATTAGGAAAAGGTTTATCGCAAGCGAGCAACCCGAGAATTGCCGGCCACGGAGACGTCGCTGCACTTTGCAGACGCGCGCGTGCACGAGAGAGAGAGAGAGAGAGAGAGAGAGAGCCGAATGCGGCTTCGTCAAATCACTCTTTAAACAGTCCATAACGGCACGATCGCGACACGCAAGCACGAGGCATGTAAATTAGATCTGATGGTTCCGCGCTATCTAAGCGAGGATGACACGCTCGCAATTTCCAGTAACACGACACAGCAGGTGCGCGCACGGTCGCTGCACAGCTCTACGTGCGAAAGCTCCTCGTACTTTGTCGAGTTGATCATTCAGCGAGGCATTCGTCCGCTGAATGATCTCTGAATGTCGACAGATTAATGAAAAGAGTCTAATTTCGGCTTGCGAGACGCGCAGCATAAAGTAGGGCGATTGAAATAGCCGGTACGACTGAGAAGATCAAATTATAAGCTCTCTTTCACTTTTTCTTTTCTTTGCTTTCTTTGTACATGAAAACATTCTCTCGGAGAACGTAATTCTCGATCTCAGATCTTTCTAAAATACCTTGAATTGCTGTGGAATCTTTAATTAACGGGGGAAAATGAGAGAAAAGCGAAAGCTGACGAGAGGTGATTTCTCGCGATATATTTTTACTTCGCTGTGTGTTTTATTGATGATTAGTGTTTGATCGATAAGAGAATCGTACGTCACCTTCGAGATCGGCAGCACCGCCTGTATGTCGTCCTTCTGAATCTCCAGCCGCACCTGCACCTTCTTCTTTTCAACGCGATGATGATGATGGTGTTGCAATTGCCGTTGCTGCATTCGCTGCGACTGATCGATGTCCGTCAACTGCGAGCCGTTCTCCTCTTCGCCCTCGAGAGTATAACGCACCGTCCACACGATCCTGCCGCTGTCTCTGTCGTAACTCTCGCCTATACCCTCCTCGCTGGCCTCCAGCAGCATCGTCATTATCTCCTCGGCGGACCTGAGGACCGAAATGGGCATCCGGACTGTAGAGACTCATTCGACCCTCGAAATTTGATCGATCATTCCTGAAGTCCCGAATCCCGAAATTATCGACGGGATTCCCGACGAGAATTCCGGGTCGTCAAAGAGAATCCAATGATCGCGCTGTGATTGATGATCGCGTGACTGAAAATCATGTCGCTGACGATCCATGAATAACGCGAGCAACGAAGGAGGGAGGCGCCGCGTAGACGGAGACGTAATTGTTCGTAATTCCGCGAACAATTCGCGGCGGCTCTGTATTACCGACGAAGGGATTCGTTCGCTCCTCTCGTGAGCTCGTGAGCAAATGTTCGCTCGTTCGCTCGAGCGGCGTAAATACGCATTTAACGACCGATGCTATTTCGAAAGGGAGTTCGTGAGAACGAGCGCGGGAATTAAAAGGAACGAAAACTCGCCTGTTAGCCGGCTGTTAAACGGCCAAACGGGAAAATTGTACGTCGTCGTAAGAAACCGACCGAGAAGGCCCCTCGCTTTTCACCCTCTTGCACCCCTTGATGAGCGGGACTCTGTGTTCTTCCCTCGATGCGCGCCCAAAAGGTTCTCCGAAGCATCCGCTGCCCCGTTTCTCTCTCGCTACACGCGATCTCGACGACACGTTCATATTTTACGACGGGAGAGCGAGAGAGAGAGAGAGAGAGAGAGAGAGAGCGTAGCAGCGTCGGATGCAGAATCACCGTGGAATTTTCACGAGCAATTTTCACGAGGAAATATGAGTTAAACTGTAATTAAATATTCATCCTCATGTAAATACAATTAGGCTCGCTGAGAGATCCGTAAATTCGTTGTACTCAATTACGCGTTGAGAGGCAACAACAAATCCTCCCCACGGGGCAACGTTAAATGGAACGCGCGCGCTCGCGCCCGCGTTGATTTCTTTTTCTATACCTTATTTTCTGCGTTGTCGAACGAAGCCGCGCGCGTAGCGTAAAATGCGCCGCCACACGCTCGCCCAGGAGACTCACTCCCGCGGTCGTTTTCATTCCGAAATTAAACTCTAAATTTGTCACATATATCGACCGCGGACATCCGTCCGGATGATCAGACTAAATCAGAGATTGTCGCTCTTCCTTTGTGATGCTCCAAATCTATTTTCTCTTTTTTTCTAAGGCCTTCCAACGCGAAGGCCAGAATTCGAGATTTATATCGCATCGGAGGCGCTCAATGAAGAGAGACAAATGTGCGCAACGCGCGTTTTTCACTGCATTTCTCTAACGAAGCGGACAATTCGGGGGAGGGGGGGGAGGGGAAGACATTGACACGGTCGAAAGAACGTTCACCCGCTGCATGCACGCACGCACGCACACGTCGAGCCGTGGATTTGCCAAGTTTTTTGTCAAACAGCCCTCGACACGGGTGAGGAGGCAAGCAGACGTGCGTTTAAATCGCCTCACGAGCAGGAGAGACAGGCGCCAAGTGAAGCCCGAGATTGCGGACGTCGCGTCGTCCCCGCAGACGGATACTTTGATTTCAGTCTCAATATCTGGCGAGGATGGCTTTTTCCAGGCTTTCCCGCCGCCCCCCCCCTCCCAGCCCATACATAATCCCCGACGCGACTCCTTCGTGAAGTATTCTTAATAAGCGCAACTTTCGCAGCGTCACTCGCTCATTACGATCTTATCGGAGATCGAGGAGCAGCCGCGACGTTATTTCAAAGTAATTATTCCGCAGCCTCGAGCTACCTGAGGAGAGGAGAGGAGAGGAGAGGAAAGGAGAGGAGAGGAGAGGTGAGGTGAACGGGCACACATCGCGGTCTGATCTCGATGCGAGAGCCGTCGCGCGCGCTCGCTAGTACGGGCGAGAGCGCCGCGCAGAATCTCGATAAGGCGGAACCCCGCGACTTACCCCCCTTATCGGCGGCCGCCGATCTACGTTGCGTGCCGGCGACGTTACCCTGCCGGCAGCGCGCTCGCGCGATCGATGATCCGAGACCGGGGGCGGCAAATCGTCGATTTCGCGGAAGCGCCCGCGGGGCCGCGGCCGCGACGACGAGACGCCGCTCTCGGCGAGTGCTTCCAAAGTGCACGCCGAATCAAAGCGGACCATCTCGCGGCGGGTTCACCGCGATAACGAGGCGATCCCGCCCCTTCTCTCCTCCGTCGTCGCTTCTTCAACGACCTCAGCATATACGCGGGCGATATCGGGCTGTTCTACGTCAAAAGCAGACGATCTCCTCGAGCTGTCTTTATCGGCAACGGCGACGGTATATAAGGCGACGGCTGGACGCATGTCGCGAAGTGCACACAGTTCTATTGAGAGTGTCGGCTGGCTTAATCATGCGTTGCAGCGCGTTCGTCTTGCTCGTGGGCGGCCTCGTGTCGCTCGCGAGCAGGTACGCTGAGGCGGAGGACCTCGAGCTAATGGAGAGAGAGGTTTTCGAAATAACCGAGGCGAGCTTAGTCGATCACGAGGTTAACGAGAAGAAGGCAGACAGTTCGGGGTCCTCCAGTGAGGAGAGCAAAGCCACGGGGAAACGTCCGAAGAGAGAATCCTACTTGGAGGACAAGTGGAAGCTTCTGGAAGAGTTGGAGCAGGAGAAAGCGGAGGAGACGGAGCTGCAGCGCGTGGCACGCGCCAAGGGCTCGAAGAAGAAGGGAAAGGACAAAGACGACGACGATGATGACGATGACAGCAGCAGCAGCAGCAGCAGCAGCTCTTCTAGTGACGACGACGACGACGACGACGACGACGACGACGACAAGAATAAAAAGGGCAAGAAACGTGCAAAGTCGAAGAAGAAGAATGACGACGACGATGACGACGACGATGACGACGATGACGATAATCACAAGAAGAGCAAAAAGCGAGGTATAAAATCGAAGAAGAAAGACGACGACGATGACGACGATGACGAGTGTGATGACGACGACGACGATGATTCGTCTTCGTCTTCTTCTTCGTCGTCGTCTTCGGAAGAAGATAACAAAGGTCGGAAGAGGAGATATGTGAAAGATCGACGTGACCTCTCGAAGAGTGACTCAGCGAGCGCCTCCAAAGAGCGAGTCAATCCGAAAGAACATTTGCGACTTATCAGAGAGGCGGACTTATCAGATACGTCGGAAAGCGACGCGTCTAAACAGAAGGGCAGCAAAACGCATCGGTCCGTCAGAACAATCAATGTTCCCTCGTTGGGGAGCAAATCGTCGTCTGAAGAGACGAAGCAGCTGCGGGATCGATTAATCAGAGCGGCCGGAGACACATCGGAAAGCGGCTCGAGTGAGAAGCAAAACAATCCGAAGAGGAAACGACTCGTCAGGGGGGTCAAGGTCAGCTCGGAAAGTAGATCGTCATCCGACGAGACGGACAAGCCGAAGATCTCGCGACTGATCCGCGCGCTCGAGGATACATCCGAGAGCAAATCGTCCGAAGAGAACAAAAAGAACAAACTGAAGACCCGAGCGGTCGAGGACACTCAGACGAGTGAATCATCGTCCGCGGAACGGGACGGCAAGCGGCCGGCGAAGCGGCCTAGCCGGGTGAACGCAAATACTTTGGAAACTAAATTGTTCGCCGAGCAGAAGTCCAAGAACCGACCGGATCGCGCGATCCAAGAAGATGACGCCGGTGACCACGCCGAGACCGCACGGAGGGCCGCACGAGTGACCCGGTCGAAGAAAGACAAGAAGCAGAAGAAGAAGAAGAAGAGCACGAAGAAGAAGAAGAGGCATTGCACACCCAAGGCGACTACCGCCCAACCCGAAGAAACAACCTTGGGCCAGCCGACGGATTATCTTCCGGTTTGATAGCATTGATCTTCATACTGTACTGTACACACATATACGTTAGAAAATCTTGAATATAATAAACGAAGAGCCTTGGTGCAATAAAGCTGGTGTAACCTGAAATTTTATTACTCGCTGCGTTCGCAGCCGCAGCCGAATCCTTGCACGTCTCAGCTAAACGAGAAAAGAAAGAAAGACCTTGTTAACTGAGCCTCGTAGAGAAGCGAGCGGAAAGGTACGGTGGTTTTTTAGGCAATTTCCAGGTGATTCGCAGAGTGTCGATTCTCCTCTCGGCGAACATCTCGGCGAGATTCGCCATCCGGGACTCGTCGTCGGGGCAAGTGCGCCGTTTCAGCGAGGGCAAAAGTGTGCGTGGTGTTCCGGGCTGTTCCGAAAAAGTATGCGAGCTACTTACGTGCTCGGTACACGCGACGCGTTCTCCTTGCGCCGCACCGTGAACGTCGCCGCCGTGTTCTTGGCGTTCACGTCGTTATCGACGATCCAGTCCGGGCTGCTGGACGAGGCCTCCAGGATCTTCACGCCCGGTCTCACCTTCACCCTGAAACACACGGCGAGATGTGCGATGAGTCGAGGGCGACGCGTCAGCATCGATCGCCGAGAGTGAATTTTGGCCAACAGGAGCCGCGGCTCCTGATGTTTCGTGACGGACGATAATCTCCCGCGCGAGGATAATCGCTGGTCGAAATTCACCCTCGGCGGGATTGAATGTATTATAGTAGCATGCGAGAATGCTTAATAATGTTTTCTTTGGTCGCCATTTCTTGCATGTCGGCGTTCTTGCATGATCGTTCGATGAGAAATAAATTCGGGACGTCCTTCCGCGGAAGGATAAAACCCCGTCGCCTCGCAGCGCGATCTCGCGAAGTCGCCGAATCTTTGCCGAGTCTTGCGTCGCTCTTGTGTGATCGATAACAATAGGAGACAAGTCGGAAATGTCCGAGAATCTTATTGAGAGTCCGTTTAACTTGGCCGCTTTTGTCGTGAATTTTACGCGCCCTTTTCATCAATTTTATGGTGGTAGTTGCAAGTTGAGCGCCGTATAATATTACAGACAGAGTCCTTTCAGCGTCTCTCCTCGCTTCGGAAGTTACTAGAAAGAGTATTTAAAATATCGGCAAACTTGCCCGTCGCGCGGCATCCTCGTTTATCATTGGCCCAACTTTGAGATTAATTATTAAAACTTATTTTTGACGACGTGGCTAATGTATACAGCGCCGGCCGTGCCCATTAATTTCGGCCAGGACGGAGATTGCTCGGGACGATTTGTTAACGACAGGTTAACACAGGTTACACCGGTTCATGAAAATTGATCTTAATTGTATTCGATGTCGCGATACGATTCGCGCGAAATGGAAACGCTATTAGAGTCGACGCGAAACATTCGATAGTATTATTAACGACATAGATATCTGTTCCTCATACCGATCTCGTTGAATAATCATTTCGGCATGTAAATATCGGCGTTAGATTTTGACAAGCCGCTGATAACGCGCTCCGATCGATGCCTTGTTATTGTTTGTGCAAAGCACTCATCAAAATCGAATTGGAGACGAGCGAGAAGAGTTCACGTCTCGCCTCGCAGCTGACTCGGAGAAATTTTCAGCCGCACGACCATCTCTCGTGATCTTCCACGATCTCTCTCCGAGGTCACTTCGCGGTCCTGATGCGTACGCGGGTGTGAAAATTATTCTTTTATTTATTCATAGACCGATAACCCGTTTGACGAGACAAAAGGTACAAAATAAAAGAAAGAAAAAGGGAAGAAGGAAGAATCGAGAAAGAAGGGGAGAAAATCTGCGATAAATTTACTGCGATTAAAGCACACCTGAGCTAAACATACCAAAGCGAAACTGAACGCTACGACGCCAAGATTACTCCGGAAGTGAACACTGCATTTAAAATCCGCGATAAATTGAATAATTAGACCGAACCTTCCAAAGTTTCCGATCGCGTGTATTCAAAACCGTCCGGCGCTCGGAAGTTCCGCATGCGCGCGCGCGCGCCTCGAGGGTGATAGATTATAAAATATAGCCGGCGAAGGCGCCAAAGGCGACAAAATAACAAAAAGAAGTCGCGCCCAGGATAATATACAAGTCACGTATAAAGTTTCAGCGGTGTTTCTTCCGGGCGAAGACTTACGCGAGGAACGCCGCTGCGACGCGGCACTTCCATTACTCGTATCACGTCGTATCGATCGAGCACCTCTTTCCGCGCTCTTTCTTTTCACGTGCGTTTTATTATTAGCCGCCGTTCTCTCGTCATTAAAAATGTACAAACGTACAGTCCTTCGGCTGCGAGACCCATTGCCCTCGTCGAGCTCTAACGACATCGTCGAGAGCACACTTGCCGCGCCTTCCCCGACCTCCCCCCGCCCCGCGGATTCGCAACAAACTATCCGCCTTCCTGCGAATGTAAGCGGATAACTAATACTTACACAATTTCGCGAACAAACGAAGAAGCGCGTCTAATAATAACCCTCCACCCCCCTCTCCTCTCTCTCTCTCTCTCTCTCTCTCTCTGTCTCTTCCTCTTTTTCATAAATAACAATATCCTCTTTCGCCCCAAGTATCTCGCCGGTTCACAACAAATAAACTTCGTGAATGCGCGGAGGCGATGAAGAGGAGGAGAAGGAGGAGGAAACCGGAAGAGGAAAATAAAAGGCTAACAACGGCACAGCTCATTCCGTTCCGTCCGGCGAAAAGTGGAACGATCGAGCCGGCTGATTCGTAGTGATCGTTAAACATCCCCCTCGACGGTCGACGCGGACCACTCTACGTGCTGCTATTAGTTACCGGTATCGACGATAAAAGTAACAATAACAACAACAAGAGAACGCCGATTCCTCATCGATCCTGCGTTCAAGCTTCCATTTACTCCGATGCCGTTATCAGCCAGCGCGATATCAGCGCGATGCTGCTCACCGACGGGGCTCGACCGATAATGTCCATCGGATGTTGCAAGTGTAGACTCGCAATAGCGCGCTCGAGTTGCCGCTCGTCAACTTCGCCCCGTCTCCCGCCGCGTCCAATTAACCCCCGCGCGGTCCCGGCGTGGCGGTTGTCTTTAGTCGAGGGTGGCAATCGGGTTGTCTTTAGTCGAGGGTGGCAATCGGATTGCCTTTCGATCGGACGGACGCGTCTCGTCGATCGAGGACTACTATTCCTCCGCGTCCATTGTACCGCTTTGAGCACCAGTCCTTGGTTGTCACCGCAATAACAGCGCGTGGCGATGGTGTTGCCCGTCGCGTTGCAATTACGAGTACTTGCGCCGCTCAATAATGCAGCGAACTCTCGTCGCGAATTCGCACTTTGCGCTTTATCGCACTTCCGGCGAGAATCCGCGAATGGTCGGATTTCGCGGACGCGACGGCGGATACTGCTTCTCGGAGGGAGGCGCCGCGTCGAGGACTCACCCCCGGACGCACGCCAAGTCAATAATTCGTTGCGGCAACGAGGGAAGAGTCGATCGATATGTAATATTAAAGGGATTTAAGTGTCCACTTTTTTCCGTTTCGCAGGCAAAACAGGGAGGAAGAGAGAGAGAGAAAGAGAGAGAGAGAGAGAGAGAGAGAGAAAGCGCGAAGGAGAACTTCCTACGAGTTCCCGAGCGTGGAAAATGGATGAATCTCGAGTTAATCTTAAGCGCCTTTGCTTCGATAGAATTTTAATCCGCAGCTCGACTAACTAGCCGGGCTACATAATAGACGAGCGCTCTCGTTGGCCGATAAAAAGAAGAAGGAATCATTTCCGGGTCGTTGTGCGGTGCAGAGCGCGGGTTAAAAGTCGCACTCGGCAGAGTCGGCGGGTGAGGGCGGGGAGGGGAGGGGAGGGGAGGGGGGGGATCGTCAGACAGTAACGTGACAAATGCGGCTGCGTAACTCTCTTCGATCCCCAGGAGTCCCGAGTAACGCGCGCGGAAAATTTCGCGGCGCGGAATCACGACGGACGGACGAATTGGCGCGAGCGCGTATCCAGACGGAAAATTCGCGACGGCGTCGTTTGTCTTCGTCGGTAGTAGCGCCGGTAACGTCGGACGGGAATGAGGCCATATCTCTCGCGAGCGCGAAGGACGTTTTCCTCATCATCGCGGAAACGTCGGAGTCGCTCGCTCGCTCGTTCGCTCGCTCGCTCGTTCGCTCGCTCGCTCGTTCCTTCGTTCGTTCGTTCACTCGTTTGTTCATTCGTTCGCTCGTTCGTTCGCGCGCGCGAAAAGAACCACTCACGCTCCAGTTACGTGACCGGGTCACGGGGTCGACCTGAAGAAACACGCGTCTGTCCGACGCCGCCGCGACGCATCGCAATTATCCGCCGGCGCCGGCGTCGGCGGTGGCGAGTCGTTGCGTACGTCGTCGTTGCGATGATACGACGATATGAGCCTTCGATAATCCCACTCGCAAGTGCACGCGACCAAGCAAAGAAGGAGAGAGAAAGAGAGGTTTCGGATTATCGAAGACGTCTCCGAGAGATGCATCTCCGAGGAAAGAGAATGTGACAAAAATTGTTAACGCGTCGATTGCCAAGAGGAGTGCCATCGTCAGTGATGGCGTCGTTTACAATATTGCCGTGTCTCTTATTGATTTGACAATCATTATAAAATGATATTGTAACAGTTATTGATACAGTAATAATTGTATAATATACATAATTATACAAATAAATATAAAAGAGTGAAAAGGATGAGTCAAACGTAGTCTATGGCACATTAAACACAACAAATTAAAACATCGGCCAATAATAGAGGAGCCAATTAAACGAACCAACGGATGTATACGCATCGCGATTGGCACTCGTCCGTCGCGTGTTTGGTGACTCAAGTTCCAGTTGAGCACTGGAGATAATCGGACGGAAAGCACTTGACAGCCGATGTCTTAAACCATGCACCGCGAAAATATCTCGAGTTGCGTCGACCCGCCGTTACTTCGCGGCGCAAAGGTACCGGCGTATCTTTTGTTGAAACTGACCGTCGAATGCGACTTTTAAATCCTCTCCTCCTCTCTCCTTCTCTCTTGCCCTCTATATGCATCCCAATAGTTGGTCGTTGAAAAACGCCTTCCACACCGCGTTGTTCCAAAACGGACTCGACGCCGGAAAGTCGCACGCTACTATCGCGAGCGTGAACGATATAACTTATTTAAAGCTCGCGCCTCTCCGCGTCATCGCTCCGGCTCGGCGTATCTCCTCGAGAGAGAGAGAGAGAGAGAGAGAGAGAGAGAGAGAGAGAGAGCTTCTTTCTCTTCCTCCGAGGTCGTTCTTAATTCAAAGCTGAAACGAGAATTTTCAAGAGTGCGCGGGAGCGCGAAGGAACGTCGCCGTCGGTTAAGCGGATCTCGCGAGCGCGAGGATGGAAAAGTGCAGCGAGTGGCTAATACGAAACTTCGGGGGATTGTGCCGTATAGTTGCCGACGAGCGGCACCGGATATTGCCTCTTCAAGTTCCCGGGGCGCACACTTGCCGAAGTCGAAGCCTCCTCCTGCTTCTCGCGGTCGCGGCTAATTCGTATTTAAAAGAGGCCACCGCTGTGCCCCATGATAACTCAATT